TTTTTTAATTAATTAATTTTAAAACCACAGGCTATGGTTAATTTTTGTAATGGAAGTTGTAAAAATTTGTTAGCCAGCTTACATAACCTTTCACAGTTATAGTAATTGTGTATTTCATCAGCTTATTTATTTACATTACAAACCTTCAGAATATCGAGAGGAATAAAACGGTGAAATCTACTTGATAAAGTGCAATAAAATAAACACTTAAATGTGTATTTTGGATGTTTTCTTTCTACTAGACTGAAAGAAGAGACATGATATGGAAGCAAAATAACCCACGTTGACCAGTGCATGAACACACACTGGTTGTGTTTGTAGTGTTTGAGTTGTGCTGTTTTACTGTGTGAGTCCTGATTAACAGACATGCTTTGACAGAGTTTGTCAGACTCGGACTGAAGTGTGTAACCTGTGTGTCCGGTGATGTTCGGGGGACACTGGGTCTTTGACAGAGACGTGTGGGTCACACGCTGACATTGTGACGTGACCCGGATCGCTCATGGTGGGTGTGTGAGAGAGACTATTGTCTGAGGACAAGCGTGTGAGTGTTTGTGTGTGTGTGTGAGTGTTTGTGTGTGTGTGTGTGTGAGTGTACGCGTTTTTGTGACAAATGAGGACATACATGTGTATAATGACAAAGGTATAACATAGGTATTACAAGGAGAAGGTGACTTTTCAGGACATTATCCCATGTCCCCACTTTTCAAAACGCTTATAAATCACACAGAATGGAAAAACAAATTCAGATATAACCCCCTTTGCAATCGTTAACATTTTCATAAGTAACTATAATTTAATTACACATTTTTTTTCTCAGTAACTAACAGATTACAATTATATTTATTTTGTAATTACAAAGATTACAAAGGAGAGATGATGATGAAGTGCAGCACAAACCTTGTCGAGTTCATCGTGGAGTTCCGACAGCGACGGGCGCAGGAGCTTCTCCCCGAGCGGAGCTGCGGTCTGCCGGTAGAAGTCGATGTTGGGCACCGCGTCGACGGTGTTGTGCCCGAAGGTGCGCAGGTAATACGTGCTGGAGTGCGTGTCAGAGAAATGACTGGAAGAGTGCAGGCTCGCCTCGCTCCTCACCGTGTCTCCGTTCACACCGGCGTCAGGCGCGGCGTCAGACGGGTTCAAGAAGTTCACCGCGCGGACCCGGCTCTTGGACTCCTCGCCGGCGGAGGACCGCGATCCCGGCGGAGTTTTAGGAGCATCCGCCACCGGATCCACCTGGAAGCGACTCTGAGAGGACCCCGGCGACCGGAGCGCGGATGGAGGAGATGAGGGCTGATCTGACATGATGGAGGTGATGGAGAATCACGCGTCCATCAGCTCCTATAGAGACTCGGAGATCAGCGCCGGTTATAATCGGTCAGACGTAACGACACTCGTGACCCTCCGGCGCTGATTGATTGACAGACAGCAGAGCTCCAACCGCGGGTTGGCTTTTGTGCACGCTTAACAAACCCCGATTCCGAGCTGAAAGAATGTTTAGGATCAGGGTCGAATAAAATCAGTGTATTTCTGATGTTTTCGCGTGCGTCACCGCGCGTCTCCAGCGGCGCGTAATTGCGCGCAGAGACACAGACGCGCTTGCTTTCATAACGCTCCGGTAACATTAGCTAACATGAGCTGCCAGTGAGCTATAACATTTGATAATATTTGTACAGTTGTTCCTGTTCGTTCACAGTGCATTTACTAAGGTTAAACATTTTTGTATTATATATATGAAGAGTTTATTTGCAAAAACAGATTTTTTTTTTACATTTTCAAAAATCATATTTTTTATTATGTTATCATGTTTTATTGTATTTTTAGTTCTTTTTTAACCCCTAATCAAAATAACCCAACTGCAGTTTGATTGAGATTGCACAATGAAAAAAACATGATTTTTGAGTTAATGGTTATGTTTTTGCAAATTATTTCTTCATATATATATTTTAAATGTAGCCTATTAATACATGTTGAAATTAACTTTAAGACTAGTAAATGCTGTAGAATTATTCTTCAGCATTAATTAAAGTTAACTAGTGTTAATAAATGAAACATTCATTATATCTCATGGGTCTAATTTATTATTGTACCTGTAGCCTAATTATCATTAACTATCATTAACTAACAGTGAACAACATGTTTTATATAACATTTAATAATACTTGTACAATTGTTCAGGTTAGTTTACAGCACATTAACCAATGTTAACAAAAACTTTTTTTTTTAATTTAAGCTGTTAGTAAATGTTAAAATTAATATGAACTAATAAATGCTGTAGAATTATTCTTCAGCATTAATTCATGTTAACTAATATAGTGTTATTAAATGAAACACTTCTTTTTGCTCTTTTGTATGTCTAATTTATTATTTAATTTTTTTTTATTTTTTTTTAAATATAAATAAAATATTTTTTATTTTATTATCTAATTTACTTATTTTATTGTATGAGCATTTCTATTTAGATTTATTCTAATTAAACATTTTATTAATAAAATATTATGTTTTATTAATATTTTGAATCAGTTTTTCTTTTTAAATGTTCCATTGCCTTTTTAATTTGAGGTAGCTTTAGTCATTTTGTTGTGTATTTTGAAATTTAGACAATTATTTTAAATTATTTTTAGCTATTTTAGTACATCAAGTTAATACAGTGTAATTAAACTAAATTTAAGCGAAAAATGTTGCTTTCGTGACTAGCCGAAATACATTTTTATACTTAATTTTATTTCACTTAATGTTTATGTTAAGTAACAATTTCTTTAGTATAGACAATCTAAACAAGTGTGTCATTTCTAACGTAACTTAGTTTTATGAGCTAATAATAATCAAAGGAATAATTGTTCTATTGAAATTGTTTATTTAATAATTTTTAATGCAGAAAAAGTGATTAGAAAGAAAGAAGGTGACCAGTTGCAGCAGCTGATAATTTGTTCTTTCCTTTAAACACTTAAACCTAAAATCTTGATTTTGGATAGGTAGGTAAGTAAGTAAGTAAGTAAATATTTAAATAAAGTACTATAGTCAACTATATTAATGTTTAAGAGCTCAGAACCTCAAACCCCGCTCATGCCGCACTCGTCCTCATTCCAGTTCAGAGAGAAACAATGGTTTTCTGTGGAGAGGAGCGATGACCTTCAGTCACATTAGCATATAACACAATCTCACTCTTCACAATGCCGAGCTGAAAGAGATCCTCCTCAAAAGAACATTGTGTTCCAGAGCACACAGGATCAGGAAAAGTGCTTTGTCTTTTCTCATATGATCATCATGCTGTTTTTCTTCATATTAGTTCCACATGCCTCCGGTTTCATCCAGACAAATAAAAG